AAGGTGAGGGAGAACCAATAACTCAAAATTGGTGGAAGGATGCAGGTGGCTAACTGCTTTTTGGAGGAAAAAGATCACTTGTAATCCTCTTTCCATCCATCATTTCTATCTCCCTTACTTTTTCTCTAAAATTCAGTGTTGGATGTAAAGGAAATCTAAGAAGTATTGCCAAAAGCCTTCAAACAGAAAACAGTGGATTGTATCTAAAAAGTTTCAATTGAAACCTTGACAAAAAAAATCTCTATAACGTGAATAGAAAGAGGGGAAACTGACCCTTTACACATTTTACAGCTTTTTGTTTCTTCTTTGTTGTAAATAAGCGCTTGTTCCTGGTTTTGATAATTTTCCTGATCAGAACTGAGAACTCTTTAAATATTGTTTTGTTTTCTTCTGTCTAAATGAGTTCTTGCATACAATAATTTCTAAAGGAACGGATGGTCGGAAGTGGCTGTCTGTTGTTGAAGCTGACACACATTGTGCAGATTTAAAATGTCTTGTTATACTGTAGTCTAAATATGTATGCTGGCCCATGGCATGGGTAAAAGTGTTGTGTAGTGATTGCCCTCTCCTGTAGGAAGTGGAGAGAGAGAAACCGGATGTCTAATTAACAGGCATCAACTTCCTATTCAAATGTCCCCAAAAGATGCAAGCCTTATCCTTCACCAGCATCTGCCCAGTAATTTACTATTTCAATAAAAGCAAAAACAACTGTTAGACGGTGGTCTTGTACCTCTACGCACATAGTGTGAAGTGAGTTTTTCTTTTGGTTTTAGTTTCCTTTTAACCCAAATGGAGTTGGAACACTGCATCTATATCCCCAAGCCACCATGTTAACCTTTTTTAAAACCATCTTGGTTCAAATCTTATGAGACCTTCCTTGTCCTCAGCACTCAGCCCTTTACTATAAAAAGTATATAATCTTTCTTTTCCTGATATTTGCATCAAGTGCAACTAATATTCTCTTGTGTGAATTACTGCGGAAAAGCTTTTATTTGACACTTTTTCTTGCGCTGGCTTACTTGTTGTCGGGTCAGCTATGCTTTTTTTGGATTAAGTGCTTGAGTGGGGGGAAAAAGGTGCAGTTTGGTTTGTTTCCTTTTTAAATATGCACTGTTTCATATCTTGTGTAATTGTGCCCTAAAACCTTCGTGGTTCTTCGTTAACCCAAATGTCATCATTATGCTTGAACAGTAGAGGGCGACAGAGATTGATTTGACTCGGGCATGTAGATCTTTTTGAGTGTTACTTTTTAAAGCAAGCAGCATCTGTGGTTTCCTCAACTCGCACTTCCATCTGCATGGTGGTAGCTGCAGGAGGTTTTGCTGATTCACTTGTAAATGACTTTGCTCTTGCATATTTCAGCTTTAGTTAAGGCCTTAGACTGCATTAGGGAGAGCAGCTCTGACCGTGTCTCTTTAATGCCCTTGTTTGCCTTCAGTTTAATGGATGTTTCAGACCAGTCCAGTTAATGCTCTGTACCCAGGCTACCTGTAAGAGTGTGTGAGTGTGCGTGCGTGTGTGAATGAGGGTATAAATGGGAAAAGACAGGGTTTTCTTGAGTTTGAGTAATTACTGGGTCGGGATTATGGGGAAAGGAGAATTTAAATTAAGAGAAATTGCCACTGTATAGAAATCAATCTGATTACTTAATTCTCTGTATCTATGTTTTGTTTGTTTTTGACTTGAAAAATAAAAAGTTTGACTAAATGTTGTTCATTCTGTGTTTCTTTTTCTTGTTTAAAGTAGAGTTGGCCAAAATTTGCCCATGGTAACCTTTAATTTGACCCACCTTCTGATCTGAGAGGGGGAATGATATGAATGGTTTTGAGATTGTCAATTCAAATGTAATGTAGCCCTTTCTTTGTTTTATTGTTAAAAACTAACTGAAATGAATGGTTTCAATTAAATAGTGTAATTTAATCTTATTTTGTTAATGCTGTCACCCGACAATCCAGAGACTTTTATTGAGCAAATCAAGTCAAAGTCTGATTCTGCTTGACCTGTGTATTCCCCATTGAACTCCACTGTGTTAAAAAATGTGATTGTTTTTACCCCAATAAATGATCATTTATTTAGTTGTACTATGTTAGGTAATATAATTTAATGTAATATTTTCTATTTATTTTGAAATACTATGAAAGGAATTAGGAAATTATCAACAAGTTGAGTGTAATATACTTTTAGTATTTTCTTTAAATTTATCTTCAGCCCATAGTTCTCAATGATATTCGTTTTTTGGCCCTTCATTCATAAGTTTGAGCATCCATGATTTAAAGTGTTGTGTTGATTTATAGAAATTGTAGTCTTTTACTGATTACAAATTACATTATAGTTGTATTACATTTTATTATAACCAGATTATTATATATAAATATATCAATTCAAACTTATTTTTAAATGAACAACTTACAAAAAAAGCTTGCTGTTTGTCATGTGGTCATTAAAACAATGTGATTATGCTAAAGTGTTGTTAAATGATTTAGGCCTTAAATATTTCAGGAATTTGGCCTGACCGATGAATTACAAGAGCAAATTAATAAACAAAAAATTGTAAATGTTTTAGAAATATTTTTAGTTATTGTATAACTATAAATCACAGACTTGTAAGCTTGTAATTGATTGTTTTAATAAGTAATGTAACCTTTATAGCAAACTAGATAAGTTACTTCCAGAAAAAAAAAAAAACATTTGAAGAATAAAGTATATATTAATTTTCGCATATTTCAGTGAGATTAAAACACTGCAAAAAAATGTTACTTAGATTTTTTTTGTCCCGTTTCTAGTCCAAATTCTTAAATCAAGAAGGATTTTTTAGACAAGTAAAAGATGTAGTTTCGTTTTAAGCAATAATATATCAGAATAAAAAGATTTTTCTTTAAAACAAGCAAAATAATCTTATGCTAGAACAGGGGTGGCCAACCCTGTTCCTGGAGAGCCACATTCTTGCAGATTTCACTTGCAACCCATATCAACCACACCTGCCTGTAACTATCACGTGGTGTTCAGGTCCTAATTAATTGGTTCAGGTGTGTTTGATATGTGGAGCAACTGAAATCTGCAGGAAGGTGGCTCTCCAGGAACAGGGTTGGCCACCCTTGTGCTAGAAGGAAAAGGAAGGTTATGTTGCTTATTTTAACCCTCTCAGGCTCAAATTAGGTTTTAGAAACAGGAAAAATCTAATATTTGGGAAAAATATAATAGTAAAATAGAATCCTGACTTTTTTTTTTAGAGAGACCTTCACATGCAAGGCGTTTTGGGATGTTGCAGATTTGCAACATTGGCCCAGTGTGGTAATTAGACATTGACGACTGAATATGATATGAACAATAACTTTTTATATACAACTTTTCAAACAATGTAACAAATTGCTTTTCTTTGGCAGAACAACAGCAAAAACAATATGGGATCCAAATATAATATCTCAAATCCTCATTGAGTAGGTCATGTTTCCAAGTCACTTTGTCATGTGGTACTCCAAGAAAGTTTTTGTCTTTTGTGTCATCTGGTGTGCAAGTGGGGAAACTGTTTGTTGCTAATGGACAACCAGGTCTTCCAGTGGTACCTCTGAGTAAAAAACGTATACGCCTGCCTTGAGAGGGCTAAGAAGAAACTATATTAATTTTGACACAATATTTTTAAAAACAAGACTATATGTTTTGCTCGTCTAGAAAATGCTTCTTTATTTAAGATTTTTAGATATTTGGCCTAAAAAGAATACAAAAACTCAACACAAAAAAAGCATTTTTGCAGTGAAGATCAATATTTCATTATAATAGTGTAAGAAGCACTGTATTTTACCGCATGTATGCTTCCCTTGAAAATAATTTGGTAAATTAAAGTAACTACATGGGAAAGGTTAGGAATCTGAGTAGATTATGGTTTAGCAGTTATTACCCAGCTACTGTAACTATAAAGTACACAATATTAACATTTACAATCAGACCACAATGTAAAATGTTACCAATTTATTCAGTGTTGCTTTCAGAATGTGAAACTCTGTAGAAGCAAGCAAACCGTGGTAGGAGAATGTTTACCAAACTGAAGTAAACAAAATCATTTTCCAATTTACCGCACCACATGACATGTGACTCAACATAGTGTGGGTTTTGGAGAATGAATTCATTATACTCTATGAAAGATGAGTTTGTATATTACCTTATAAAGGCAAGTACCTGTGCAAACAGTGCAGCCCTTTTATAACTGACAAGTTCTTGTTTCAGTAAACCACTGACACCACAGTCCAGCCCCTGCATTTCCTATGTTCATGTGTGTTTGCATATCATGTATTCCTTAATTTGTGGGGACCAAATGTCACCACAAGTATAGACATGCCAGTAGATTTTGACCTTGTGGGGACTTTACTTTGGTGAGGATTGGGAAAATGGTGCATTAATCACACAGAATGAGGTATTTAGAAAATTGTTATGTAAAAAATGCTAATTGTTTCCTGTGAGGGTTGTGTTTAGGGGTCGGGTTGGGATAGGGGGATAAAATATACAGTATGTACAGTACAGTACAATTATTATATCTATGGGAAGTCCCTTAAATAGCTAGTACAAATGTGTTTGTATGTGTGAGTGTGCTTGAATGAATGAAGCCACAGCCATTGTGTGCAGACAGCATGCTAAAAAGTTTACATGCTAGCTTTTAGCCATGACTTACAGGTCTGAGATCAGATGTTCAAAAGTTCCCAAAAGTATTGTGTCCACAGGCAAGTCTTGACATAGTTATGAATGCTTTGTGTGTGTGTGACTGGGTGTGACTCTTAAATACGTAAAAGTAGAAACTGACACCTCACAGGCTGAAACTGATTTGATATATTTTCTTCTTGTTTAGGCACAGAAATTTTTCCTGCTGTCAAATTTAGTCAAAACAAACAAATAACACGTTTAGGAAATCTGTGCACTCCACTTTGCCTCTTTTCCTCATTTTTTGGCATGTTTGTTTAAATGGGGGTGTTTTCAAGGGGGGTGGACCAAAAACCCATTCAGGAAGTCAGTTTGTACATTTGCCTCTCTTCAACAAATTCTCTCTTCCTTTCCTTCTTGAAACTTTGCAGAGTTCTTCAACTTCAACTTCATCAGCAAGGTAAACACTGAATTTCTTAAAAAAAGCCCTCAGATATTCAATTTAGAAGTGTGTGAGCTTCAAAACTAGCTGCCATTGAAGCTGCTTTATTGTTCATTCATTTTTAAGAACTTAAAGCAGAGAGAGGTTTAGGTAGAAGAGACACTCCCAAAGCTCCACACCCTAGTTCTACATCTAGCTTATTTCCTAAAACAAATGAGCACTTATTGCTATGAAAATGACTGTAGGGTTTAGAAATGCTGCTAATGAACTTTTGAAGTATTTAAATGATGAATTGAGATGCCATCTGGAATTTTCTTGTATGAGCATTTTTTCAGCATCTTATGTTTATATTAAGTTATTTTATGCTAAATGCAATGTAAATCACCTATTCTTTCTCCATAAAAGCAAAATGACTCAACCTTAAACGTTTTTGGATCTCTTGTTCAGGATTGCTTTTAATGACTTTGTGGATTAATATTATTTTTATTATTTTTCTGTTTTGTTTTTATAATGTGCCTGTGACATATTGTAAGGTGTCCTTGAGTGCTCTGAAGGCGCCTATAAATAAAAGGTATTATTATTATTAACATTAACTCTTCAAGTGTGTTGCACATCCTGACATTTGACTTTGCATTTTTTTTATAGTAGTTGGTGACCTTCCAATAGGAAAAGCTTTTCTTGTATCATAAACTGTATATAGTCTGCTTGTCATTTTACTACACTTTGATTGCAGTTCTACCACAGTATTCATGTCAGTGTTTTTATGACTCCACCCTTGTCTCTTGCAGTTTATCTGTTCATGATCTAACTGCATGTCTCTCTAAAATGAAAGATATAGGTTATATCACAGATTATTTATCTATCTGCCTTATCAACTAATCAGCGTTTCCATCTCACAAACATGTTACGCAATAAGGTTGTGATCATTGTTAAGCTGTGTTGACAAGTGTGTTTTGTAACTCTAAAGTCACTTAAGTCCATATAGTTTGTGTAAAAATGTGTCTGTTTAATGTCAATACAAAAAAAATCAGCTGATTATTGTTTAAGGTTTGTTTTCTGCATAGCAGTGACAAGATTAAAGAAATTCTATTGCCAAGATCAAAGATTATTGCAGAAATTACAAAAAGTAAATTAAATGGAAAATAAATACACAGTTAAACAAATAAGAACGTTTCTACATATGGCCATTCACAACCAGCATCTCCACATTAAAGATCAAAATGCTTAAAAGCAATTTGCAAATACTGTTTATTAAACGTCCCAAAGTGTCCATGTTATTTTCATTAAAGGGCCATAAAGCCCCCCCCCTCAGTTCATGATATGGGTGTGGATCACTGCGAGCGGAGGCAGGAGTGGGCGTGGCCAGCAGAGCAAAGGAAAAAGAAGGGAGCCTTTGGAAAGCATGTGCTGTCATGAATAATTAAAAAGTAGGGTCTTCTGATAGGCTAAGAAAACTCAGCTATGAATAATAATGAGAAATCGACGTGTCATCACTCCACTAGCAGATGCGCGCTATGTCACCGATTTTGATCCCGCTCCACTAATTATTTTAAACCCAGAAGATGAAATTAGCTGACAAAAGCTCCAAATTATCCATTTGTCTCCACAATTAAAGTTGACAGGTGCTAATGTTGTCTTAAATGATGCTTAACACACACGAATCTGATAAAATCTAAAAAAAAAGACCTCCAGGGTGTCTTGAACCTTTAAATAGTCTAATTCCCAAAGGTGTACATGGGGGAACCAGCATATAGTTTGTCCTTGTCACAGTGTTGCAGCCCAAGACCGGTTACTCACTGAAGCTAAGCAGGGCTGAGCCTGATCAGTACCTGAATGGGAGACCATGGGAAGACTAGGTTGCTGTTGGATGTGGATGAGGAGGGGTGCTCAACCTGTGGTCTGTGTGAGTTCTAATGCCCCAGTAAAATGAAGGGGACACCATACTGTCAGTGAGCGCTGTCTTTCAGACAAGAAGTTAAACCGAGGTCCTGACTCTCTGTCCTGGCCAAATTCCCTACATCAAGGCTTCTAAATCATCTCCTTCCACCGATGGCTCTATCACCTATGGCTGGTGTGTGGTGAGCGCACTGGTGCCGTTGTCCTATTCCAAGAGGATGTTACACACTGTTGTTGATGTAGAGCAGGGGTTTCCAAACTTTTCAGCCAGCGACTCGCGACCCCAATATCCTTTGAGGTGGTTATAAATACAGAAACCTTGCATGCAATAGCACACACACACACAAATAGACCCAAGTCTATTCTTCGTTTAATTTTTTAATGTATGTCAGTGCTGTAAATGTGCCAGAAAGTTTAACCTGATGTTATAAAAATCAATCTGCTGCATCTGACACTATTGCTGTGTCTTGAATATAATGTAATTACCCCCGGGGTCGAAATCCAATAGAACTAACTATAAGCTACAGTAACTATATAGTATATAGTTACTATAAACAACTATAAACTATTTTTTTTTATTTTCAGTAGGTTATGGATAAAATATGGTAATTCTTATGGTTAAATAAAAATAAATAGATTTTTGGAAATCCCCAGGAGACCCCTCGGGGGTCCCGACCCCCACTTTGAGAACAACTGGTGTAGAAGCACTTGGGGTGTATGGCCATACTGGATAAATGCGCTGTATAAATACACATTACCTTTACGTCTATGTTTGTTTTATATTAGTGTTTAATTGCTTTGCTTCCTGAGGAACCGACCAGTTTTTTCACCTCTTGTTGGAGGAAGTAGATCACAACGAGGATGATCACTCTGTGCTATTTATTCTATGAATTTAATGGTGGCTTGTTCCATTAATTATTAATTAATCTTACAATTTATAGTAAATAATAAAAGTAAATTGACATTCTAAAATGTGACAGCTTTTTCCATTTTTTTTTTCCTAAAAATGTGTGGAAGGTTATTTATTTTAATAATTATGTTCTTAGTTACTAGTAGTACTAGTAGTAGTGGTGACACATTAGATAACATCAGTTAAGAGTATGGCTTAACAGCAAAGAACCCCCCCCCCCCTTTTTTTTTTTTTCCTTACAGTAAATGTTCTATTTGGGAGTGACATGGTGGCTCAGTGGTTAGCACTGTTGCCTCACATCAAGAAGGTTGCTGGTTCGAGTCCTGGCTGGGTCAGTTGGCATTTCTGTGTGGAGTTTGTATGTTCTCTTCGTGTTCGTGTGGATTTCCTTCAGGTGGTCTGATTTCCCCCACAGTCCAAAGACATGCCCTATACTGTAGGTTAATTGAGTAAGCTAAATTGGCCATAGTGTGTGTGTGTGTGTGTGAATGAGTGTGTGTATGGATGCTTCTCAGTACTGTACTGAGTTGCAGCTATAAGGGCATCCGCTGTGTAAAACATAAACTGGATAAGTTGGCGGTTCATTCTGCTGTGGCGACCCCTGATGAATAAAGGGACTAAGCTGAAAAGAAAATGAATGAATGTTCTATTCCTAATTTTTTAAAGGTGAACTTTGAAAACTACAGCTGCTGTTTTGCTGTTTTTATTATTTGTACTTAGTGTAAGTTATTAAAACTTATTTCTAAGCATATACAAGACACGTAGGCTATACTTCAGCCAATTAGATGGATATAAAAAAAACAAATGTCAAAAATATAAATAACTATAAAAATGTAATTTAATTATAAAAATCTGTTAACTGAGTGGTTCTACCATTGATTTTGGTTTCTGGAAAGCGTAACGTAATGTACTAAAACAATGCGCGTTTTACCGTGTTTCCTCCATTAGCTCCTCTGAGTGGAGGAGAGATGGATGTAGCTCTGCAGTAATTATCCCGCTAGTGTTTAGCGTTAGTCAGGCAACCCGACTCTCCTCGCTGTGGGGCGTCCTCGGCAGGGCCGCTCGGATTATTCCCCCGTGTCCAGTTACTGGACACATATAAGCTAACCAGGCCAGGTGAACTCACTCACACACACACCTAGGTGCAGGAACAGGCAGGATGGAGCCGGACTCTGACAGCATGCCGGAGCAGGCCGAAGGAGCTTTGCAGTTAAGTGAACTAGTATGTTCTTTAGCTCCGAGTGCACTTTATACTTACGATAGGAAACCGAGACCTATTGTTGACAACATATTATGCGCATACGAGGTCCACCTGTATATTTATTATTTCATGCTCTTCTATTGTAGGGTAATATTATTTTCAGTGAAAAAACTGGTCTCAAAGAGTTGGTGATGATGCCTGTCTTAAAGTTAAACCTTAAAGCTAAAAGAAATATATATATATATATATATATATATATATATATATATATATATATATATATATATATATATATATATATATATATATATGTACTATACCATATCTGTAGCTTATCTACAAAGTGTGAAAAACTATAAGGAAACCATATGCTGATTTACCCAATTAAAAAAAAGCATTGCAGTTTGTTTTTTGAAGCAGACCCCACCTTCAATTGCTCAACCAATGTTGTGGCAGTGGTTGCATGACTTTAATTGCTGACTAACGTAACTTGGGCAGAGTGTTTAGGAAACATGTCTGAAAACAGTCCTGTTGTCCAAATATGCATGGGTCTCTATTTTAGCAAATGAATACAAAATAATTATTATGCCTGAGTTAGTGGTATGCATAAAACGGTACAAGAAAAGTACAGACAAATTGTTGTAGAACAAATAACAGCAATGTGGTGGATGTGGTGTGTGCAGATTATATTAAACACAATTAATTAATAGGAACTTACATAATGGCATCACATTATATGTGTATTTCCAACACTATTTCATGGTATCTTTTTGATTTAGTGGTTAATTCAAATTTGTACAATCTCATTCATACATTTTAATACAGTTTGCTTAATTTGACTGTTGGGTTTACGGGTAGGGTTTGGTGCCAAGTGTCTTTTTAAAAATCATACGTCATCTTATGCCTGAACTTGTATTCATTTGTATGAATTAGCCAATAAACTGACACAATGTAAAATAGTTATGTTTCTGTGTGAGATCAGGATGGTATTTCAAATGAAATCTCCACATA